AAAAAAATTAGAAATAAGAGAAAAAAATAACTGAAAAAAATAAAAAATAAAAATGAAGAGCCTCCTTCAGCATATATCTCTGCTGTCACAATAGACAACATGGGCAGCAGTGTGCAGATCTAAGGCAATTAGTCTCACAAGCCATCCACAGTCCACTGAGATTGAGGCTGATTTCTGGCTGCAAGGCCCATGTTGAGCTCCCTGATTTCCTGTTATATTGAACTCTGCAAGGTTTTATTGCAGGTTCCAGCTGCTCTTCCCCTAAAGATAGTCCAGGTTCTGATGGGAGGTGCTGATCCCTCCAACTTACCAACTAGGGTGGTCTGGTGTGCCTTTATTGCAGAGATTTTCCTCACTTTCCTAGTGGGCTTCAATTTTCATCAGTGAGCCTCAGAGAGGCCCTCTCTTTGTTGTTCACTTCTGCTCTATCTTCTGGAGCTCAGAACAATGGCCTTTATGACCCCCTGCACCTGTGTGATGTGGATCCAGGTACCAGCAGGGCCCAGCCGGAGGCCTGGGGGGTGGTGCTGCTGGTGGCCCTCAGCTCAAGGTTAGTCATTTTCAATCATGATTTATATTAAATCTTCCAAAAAGCATTTGAAGTGGCTTACAACTGCCTGAGAGTTGCTCATTCAGTGGGTGCTTCCAAGAAAGCTTGGAGCTGCTTCCATTAGACTCTCCTAGATACCAGAAACATCATGATGGGGTCCCAGGAGAGAGAGAGTAAGGTATGGAAGAGTGCCAAAGGGCTATCTTCATGCTGGAGATCCAAAGGATGCAAAGTTCAGAGGCCTGGAGCTCACTGTAGTGTCTTGCTCGAGGTATCAGGAGGCCGAAGAATCTGCAGTGGAAGGCTGAAAAATCTGAGCTGGAAGACTAAAGGGTCAGTATTGGAAGTCAGGAGACAATACCTAAGGTGAAGGTGAAGACTGGAGCTCCTTAGAAGAAACAGAAGCCAAAAATGTACATATTGAATCATTTAGCTGCAATAGTGAGAAGTTGGATGTATTTTTTCTACGCCAGGACCACCAAGTTCTTTTTATTATCTTCAAAAATATTTGCATTAGAAAATGAAACTAGAATTCTCCATGATTTTTCTACAACATAACCGAATCATGTTGGACGTTAGAGGGAGCTAAAACCCAGGTAATCCAACCTCCCACTGTTGTGGTAAAAAAGAAAGTAGGTCAGTGCATCAGGTTCTTCAATTCTGTATGTGTATACTAGTTCGATGTTAGATTTGGTCCCGGTCACAAAATTCATAGTAAGACAGGTCAGCTCATCCTACCAGGAAGTTAAATAAGAGTGACTAGCAAAATATTTCTACAGCCCAGCTTATGTAATTTTCTCCACTGGAAAACACTAAAAATTAAAAGAAAAAAAAAATTGCTTTCTAAACACTCCTGTGAAGGCATGAAGGTTTTCAGAAGATTTTCTTCTGGGTACCATAAAAATGCAATTCTACTGTTTAAATTACGTGGAACACTGTCTTTTTATTTGAGAATAATATAACTTTATGTGTGGTTTGTGCCTTACCTTGAACAAAGCTTTTGTTCAGTTAAGCCTCCCACTTTGAGTGGAGTGAAGTAGGTATTGCTATCATCTCCATTTTAGAGATGAAGAAACAGGTCAGAGAGAGGTTTGGTTTCTTGCCCAGAGCCACCTAACCAGGAAGTGGAAGAGCCAGGATATGACTGTGCAGTGCGGGAACCTGCCAGTAGAGGCAGAAAAGCTTTATTCTAATCCAAGCTCTGCCATCTATGCATATTAGTCTTTAAGGAGAAAAATCACCAGTTAGGATCTGAAGTTTTGTTTTTCCACTTGAAAGATGCTTAGACGCTCTTCGTGGTGTATACGTTAAACCTTTTTTTGTGGGGCTGGGTAGTGAGACAGGATTGCGCTATTAGTTTAGGCTGATCTCAAAATCCCTATGTACCCCAGGCTGACCTCCAACTTGAGATCTTTCAGCCTCAGTCCCCCCGAGTGTGTAAATTACAGGCATGTGCAACCACATCTGGCAGTATACTTTCAACTTAAACGCGTGAGATTTTGTTAAAATATTGACTCTGACTTAGGAGGTCTGAGGTGGACTTGAGATTCTGCATTTTTATCTGGCTTTGAATAATACCAATACTGCTATTTGGAGAATGACCCTGAGTAGCCTTTCTGTTGTGGGAGGTTAATAACTAACATCTGCAAGGGAAAAAAAACTTTTTAAAAACTAAGAAATGGACAAACTGTGTATCTGCATTAATACTTGCAACTTGAGATGTTCACCATTAGCTATTTGGAAACAAAACATTGTTACTTGGTGCTGATCTATATTTGACACCTTTTTCTCCCAGAACTGGGGATTGAACCTAGGATCTTTGCACTGAACTACATCCTCACCCTTTTTTTCAACCTTGAGACAGGGTCTCCCTAAGTCACTAAGTTGTCCAGGCTGGACTCCAACTTGTGATCCTCCTGCTTCAGGCTCCCAAGATGCTGGAATTACAGGCCTGTGCCACAATGCCAGGGGTATTTGACCTCATTTTCTGTATCATAAATACATTCATTGGAACCTCTCAGACCCTATTGGGGAACAGAACTTTTTTACTCCAGTTATGAGCCACCAATACATTCTTATCATTTGCTTCTTAGGTAAATATTTTTTAAATATTCATTTGAGGTTTTATTCTGGCCAAAATTAAGTGTAAGTTGAGGTTTTGTTTTGTAATTTTTAAAAATTTCTGATTGATTGCACACTCACCATCTCAGATGAACTCATCCCAGATTTCATATGTAACACCTTATATGAAGCTGATGTTTTATGTCATTGAAACATGAAACTGTCATGGTTACCCAATTACATGCTTAGGTGAGTATGAATGAGGTGTGGTGTACACCTGTGGTCCCAGCACTCTGGGAGGCTAAAACAGGAGGATCTCATGTTCGAGCCTAGCCTGGGCAACTTAGTGACTTAGCAAGACCCTGTCTCAAAATAAAAAATAGAAAGGGCTGGGCAATGTAGCTCAGTGTGAAGCTCTTAGGTTCAAACCCCACTCTCTATACTGGATCACTCTTTTATCTCCTGGCATATTCCATTTTCTTCCTAGGGTTTTTTTTCCCCTGGTACCAGGGATTGAACTCAGGACCTTGCACTTGCCAGCCTGGCAAGGCACCACTGAGCTACATCCCCAGACCTTCCTAGGGGCTTTAAGTGATAGCATATATTTAATATCAATTTCCCTAACATTTTTTATTTTGCTCTATGTAGTACTTACAATTTACAAAAGAATTTTCACCTATGTGAACTCGTTGATCCTACAAAACATAGTGAATTAGGGAAAATATCATTTTCTCCACTTCAAACAAAGAGGCCAGAATGTTGTGACACCCAAGAATACAACCAGTGTCTCTTGACTATAAATCCGTATCACTTTTTACTGCAACACACTACTTCCCTACCTGTGGTCCCAGGAGCATACAATTTGGCGAGCAAAGAGCATATCCAGGCCCTATATAGAGAGAGGAAAGAAAGCAACAGGATAAGCATGGGGTCACTTTATGAGGAGAGACAAGGAAATAAGAGGAATAAATAGAGGCAGGTTGATAGCTGGAAAAAAATCTTAATTTTTTTGATGACATGCTTCACTACTCCAGATTTTGATTCTACAGAATTGTTGCCTCAAAGGTCATTGACTCACTTCTAGAATAGATATCTTAAAATAGGCTGTTCAGGCTATTTAACCGCTGTACACCCTGGTTCCCCTCCTATAAAATAGATGTAACAATTGTGCCTACTTCATGGGACTGTTAGGAGTATTAAATGAGGTGATATGTGGAAAGCACATGGAACAAAAAACCTTCTGTAGGCTCTGGTTTTCATACCCCATCTTTCTCTATTAGATAGAGAAGGTGTTGTCTAGTTTTCATTCTTGCAACACAGCCAGTCACAATGTGGCCTCTCCACAAATGTTTATTTTTTAAAATGAGGTAATTAGGTAACATCAATTTCCAGCATATATCTGTGTGTGTGCCCCTCAAAAACAGTCATTGCCCTGGGTATGATGGTGCACACTAGTAATCCCAGCACTGGAAAGGTGAGGCAGCAAGGTTGCCAGAGGCCAGCCTGGGCAACATAATAAAACACTTTCTCAACCCATTCCCAAAAGAAAATTATGCAAATGTAAAAATAATTGAATATTACAATTATAGGATTGCAGTGCTTTCCCCCTTTCTCAGTTTTAATTATTAATTACACCATTTTAATGCCATTTCCCCCCTTCTAACATTAAACTAAGAGGACCTTCACATACTCTTGAGAAGGGGAAGAAAAGAGAAAATAGTCCGACAGTTGAACCACACTGAGTGATTAAGATTGCTCTTTTTTTTGTTGTTGTTTGTTTGCTTGGTAGGCTGATTGTTGTTTTTGAGACAGGGTCTCAATGTGTACTCCACACTGGCTTTTAACTTGCTATATAACCCAGGCTGGCCTTGAATTTATAGTCCTCCTGCTTCAGCTTCCCATATGCTGGGATTATAGGCATAATCCTGCCATTCATGGTTTAAAACTGCCCTTTTAACAGCTGTGAATTTTTCATAGAATAGCTCTAGCCACTCCTTGACTTGTGCAAACATCATTTAGGAAGCTTCTGCTTTATAAGTAATTCATAACTTTTAGGGAAGATGGATCAAATAAATGTACGATATACCTATGAGTCATGCTTAAAATACTGGTACTTTCTTCAGTAAGCTTCCATAATGGAGAAAAATTATAATTACACACAAGCTTTGGAGACCTGTTATCACTTTGTGGATTGAGTAACCCTGGGAGACAAGGCAATCTACTGGCTCAACAGCCTGGAAACAGTAACTGGACCAATCAACTGCCTGGAAACAGATTTTGGACCAATCACGCACCTAGAAACAGTACCTGGACCAATCAGCTGTTTTCTATCAACTATTTTCCCCTAAAATCTGCCACTGCTGCCTTGCAAACCCAAAGCAGAGAAATAAAATGTACCTGAATTATTTCTAGACCGACCTCTTCTATCCTAGACCATCTTTGGCTTGTTTGACAAGTACCAAGAATTCTGTGTCCCTCAATGGAATTCATTCTGTACTGAGTACTTTTTTAGCCACGTCATATTCTTGTGGAACGAGGTAAGAAATAAATAAATCCATTTCAAAATATATCATGTTGTACATTGCAGTTGTTCTGATGTTTTATAGGAGGATTTTTTTTTTTTCCTATTTGGGTTCTCAAGTTTGACTTGAGAAATACCTGGGGTGTGTTTTTAAATCCCAAAGCTCAGTACTCACCCTAGACCAATTAAATCAGAATTTCTGTTATCAGTATTTGATAAAGTTTCACAGATGATTCAACAGTGCATCATAAGTTGAAAAACACTAAATCTTAACAAGATCAAAAAGCTCCACAAAAGCAAAGCAGTTTCTTGTTATTTTGCTTTATCTCATCCTGTGCTGGGTAGAACAGGTTTTCTGCCTAGACAAAGCAACTAGTTGTTAGTACTGTGACTACAAAGAGAGTTAGAGAAAGGTAACTAGGACCTCGAGTGAGGCCAGAATTGTGTCATCTCGGTGCTTAGTAAGGGAATATGGAGCAGTATTAAGAGCTTGCTCTTGGGGACCCAGATCTGCATTTGAAGTGCAACTCTGTCATAACCTTTCTGTCCTAAAGTAAGGTAATTGTAAAATGCAGAAGTAAAAGTATCTATTTGAGGGGATGTCCTAAAGATTACATTAGATAATGAAGCTAAAGCTTAACTTGTTGGTCTTTGACACCTGGTTCGTAAATAGCAAACTAAGAGTCAACACAAAATGAATGAGAGGTTGGAATTTGGAGGCTCAGACAGTGACATGCTGTGGCAGTGTTCAAAGTGTATCCTCAGGCCTGTAATTTAACCAGAGAAAAGGTAATATAATCACTTCTCCTATAATTTGAACATTTCAAGTAACGTTATAGCATGGAAGCGTCATTGGCCATAGACTGGGATGGGGGACACCACTGCTGAGATAGGGGACAAAAAGACAGAGACTATATGGTGCATCTCTAGCACTGTATGGAAGAGGGAACATATAGTCTACTGTGGGAGCTTTTGTCCCAGCATTGGGAGACTTTCCTGCATTATTGAAATCATAGGAAAGGAACTGCTATTATTCTAGCTGCAACTGGACCTTCTGGTGTCAATAGGCCCTGTAGGAGACAAGTTCGCACCAGGGACTATCAAACCTGACCCAATGACAAAGCCCCTTGGATCTGGGGTCAGAATCATACAGCAGCCTGATCTTTTGTTCTCAAGAAACCTCTCTCAAAACACAATGTGTGGAAGGAATAGGTTTTTAAAATGTAATTACATTTACATTTTAGTTTGTTAGGACAAAAACATCTCTTCTTTTAATCAACCTCCATTAGGCATAATAATACTGAGTCCCATGTACATGAGGGACACAGTGAGTGACCTTGATGCTTCCAGTATCTAAAAGATGTCTTGGAAATAAATTATAATGTATTAACTCTAAAAAAAAATAGATGTGTTAACTCTTTAAAATTGTTCAGCTATTTGCTTGTGAGATTTAATTTTGTGCAAGGAGATAGCTCCTGTTCTTCCATCCCAGCTAGCAGCTTCACACATATATATCATTGGTCATAAATGACATTAGAAATTTCTCCTATGTTAAATGTAGGGGGAAGGACTGAAAACAGAAAGCCATTTTTATTACATTATCCACAATATAAAATGTTATATAATATAGTTAAACTGTTCTCTAAATGATGCCCTAGGGTTCTCAGTGTAATTACAATGCCTTAGCAAATTTTACTTAATAAAATTCCTGTGGCTTGAGAAAACTAGTAAGCAGTAAAAGATGCATAATTTATTTTCCAGATCATGAGTAATGTAAGTTTAAAATTGTAATTTGACCCATAAATATATACTACAAATGTAATACACAAGACAATTTTTCCATACAGATATCTAGTTTTTTTCAGTCACATTTGTTGACCTATTATTTCCATCATTGAATTTCCCTCACACCTTTCTTCAAAACCAATTAACTGTATATATGTGACTCTGTTTCTGGATTCTATTTTCTTTTTTAAAATATATTTTTATTTTAAAATGACTTAGAGTAATTGTATGTGTTTACAGGATACAGCATGTCATTTCAATATATGTATACAATGTATAAAGATCAGATCAGGGTAACTGATTTATCATCACCTTAGACAGTTATCATTTCTTTGTGTAAGAAACATTCAAAATACTCTCTTATATCTATTCTGAAATAGTAAATTAATTGTTGCTGATCATAGTTATTCTACTGTACTGGATTCTATTTTGTTTCATTGGTCTATTTGCACCAATAACATATTATCTGGATGACTACATCATGGTAGTAATCCTTGAAATCAGGTAGTTAAGTCCTCCAACTTTATCTTTTTTTCAAGATTATGTTACTATTCTAGATCCTTTGTAATTTACAAGTAGCTTGTCATTTCCACTTCAGTAATCCTTCAGGGATTTTGATTGGGATTAATTTATTTCTGTAATGTGTTATATTCTTCAGTGTAGAGATTTTTCATATTTAAAACATGTATTTATTCTTAGATATTTTATGTTTTGATGTTTTTGTAAATGGACTATTTTTAAATTTCATATATGCCCCAGCACATAAAATATATCTTGGCAAATATAAAGAACTTGTAAAAAATATGTGCTCTGAAATGGTTAGATTATCCAAACATGTCAATTAGGTCAAGTTAATGAGAATATTTTTAAATCTTCTATATTCTTATTGATATTTTAATTATTCTATCACATACTGAAAGAGTGTTAAAGTTTCTAAGTATTATTGTAGATCTATTACTCTCTCATCAATTTTTGCCTTCATATATTTCGAAGCTCTGTTATGATATGCATGTGCACTTAGGATTTTTATGTCTTCTTGATCAATTAACCTATTTATTGTTATAAATTGATCTTTATCTTTGGAAATATGCCTTGCCTTTTAAAAAAATCTACTTTGCC